CAAAAGCAGAGCCTAGAATTGCAAGGAAAAATAGATGAATCCACTATCATAATTGGAGACTTTAACACCCTTCTGTTAGAAACAGACAGACCCAGAAAGCAGAAAATCAGTAAAAACATAGCTGAATTCAACACCACCACCAATCAACTGGATGTAATTGACATCTATAGATGATTTCATCCAACAACAGCCAAATACATGTTCTTCTTAAGCTCATATGGCACATTTACCAAGATAGACCATATTATGGGCCCTAAAGCATACCTTAATGAATCTAAAAGAATAGAAATTATACAATGTCTGCTCTCAGACCAAATGGGATTAAACTAGAAATCAGCAACAGAAAGATAACTAGAAAATCCTAAAATATGTGGAGAGTAAACAACACACTTCTAAATAACACGTGGGTCAAGGAAGAAATCTCAAGAGAAATTTGAAAATTATTTTGAATTAAATGAAAATTAAAACACAGCTTGTGAAAATTTGTAGGATATAGCAAAAGTGCTTAGAAGAACATTTATATCATTGAAAGCATACATTAGAAAAGGAGAAAGATTTAAAATCAATAATCTAAGTTTCCACCTAAGGAAACTAGAAAAAGAAGAGCAAATTGAACCCAGAGTAAGCAAAAGAAAAGAAATAAGAATTAGAGAAGTCAATGAAATTGAAAACAGGAAATAATAAAGAAAATCAACAAAACCCAAAGCTGGTTCTTTGAAAATATCAATAAAAACAATGAGCCCTTAGCCAGGCTAACTAAGAAAAATAATTCAACAGGACACAAATTACTAATATCAGAAATGAAAGAGGGGACACCACTACAGATCCCATTAATTTAAGAAGACAATAAAGGAATACTATAAACAATTCTATGCTCACAAATTTCATAACCTAGATGAAATGGACCAATTTCTTGAAAGATACAATCTGCTGAACTCACACAATAGGAAACTGACGATCTGAATAGCCCTATATCTAATAAAGAAATTGAATCAATAATTACTGACCTCCCAAAACAGAAAGCATGAAGCCCAGATGGGTTCACTGGTGAATTCCACCAAATATTTAAGGAAGAGATTATACTAATTCTCCACAATCTCTTTCAGAGGATAGAAACAGAGGGAATACTTCCTAGCGCATTCTATAAGGCCAGTATTATATTTTTTTAGATGGGGGAGGGGCAGCGGGAGAGGGAGAGAGAGAATCTTAAGCAGGCTCCATGCCCAGCATGGAGCCCCATGCAGGGCTTGATCTCACAACCCTAAGATCATGACCTGAGCTGAAATCAAGAGTTGGATGCTTAATCAACTGAGCCACCCAGGCACCCCATGGTCAGTATTATCTTAATACTAAAACCAGAAAAAGACATTACAAGAAAACTACAGAGCAATCTCTCTCATGGACATAGATGCAAAAATCTTCAACAAAATTTAACAAAATTTGAATTTAACAATACACAAAAGAACTCTATGCCATGACCAAGTGGGATTTATTCCAGGTATGCAAGGATAGTTCAATATCCAAAAATCAATTAATGTAATCCATCACATCAACATACTAAAAAAGAAAAATTACATGGTCATATCAATAGATGTAGAAAAAGCATTTGACAAGATCTGACACCGATTCATGATAAAAGCTCCTAGTAAACTAGGACTAGAGGGAAATGTTTTCAACTTGATAAAGAATGTCTACAAAATCCCTACAGCTAGTGTCATACTTAATGGTGAGAAAATCAAAGCTTTCCTACGAAGATTGGATACAAGAACAAGGATGTCCCCTCTTATTTCTCCTTTTCAACATCATCTCAAAGTCCTTGCTAATGCAACAGGCAAAATAAGATAAAAGGTATACATTAGGAAGGAAGAAGTAAAATTATCTTTGTTCACAGATGACATGATTCTGTATGTAGAAAATCCAAAAAGAATTGACAAAAAAACCCCTCCTGGAACTAAGTGATTATAGCAAGGTTGCAGGATACAAGTATATATAACACAAAAATAATATAATAAAAAAGTAAATCACTTTCCTAGATATTAGTAATGAATATGTGGAATTTGAAATTTAAAACACAATACCATTTACATTGGCACACCCCCCCATTAAATAGTTTGGTATAAATCTAACAAAATACATACATGATCTATATGAGGAAAACTACAAAACTCTGATGAATGAAATCAAAGAATAACTGGATAAATGAAGAGATATTCCACATTTATAGATATGAAGACTCAATATTGTTAAGAGGTTAGTTCTTCCAAAATTCATCTATAGATTCAAGGCAATCCCAATCAAAATTCCAGCAAATTATTTTGTGGATATTGACAAACTGATTCTAAAGTTTTCATGGAGAAGCAAAAGACCCAGAATAGCCAATACAATATTGAAGAAGAACAAAGTTGGAGCACTGACACTATCCGACATTCAGCTACAGCAATCAAGACAGTGTGGTATTGGCAAAAGAAAAGGCAAATAGATCAGTAGAATAGAATAAAGAGCCCAGATATAGATCCCCATAAATACAGTCGACTGATCTTTGACAAAAAATTAAAAGCAATACAATGGAGCAAAGATAGTGTCTTCAACAAATGGTGCTGGAACAACTGAATATCCACATGCAAAAAAACAAAAAAAGCAAAAAAACAAAAAACCCTAGACACAGACCTTATACCCATCACAAAAATTAACTCAAAATGGATCATAGGCCTAAACATAAAATGCAAAACTATAAAACTCTTAGAAGATGATGGAAGAAAACCTGGTTGACCTTGGGTATGGTGAGGACCTTCTGGATACAACACCAAAGGCCTGGTCCCTGAAATAAACAGTTGATAAGCAGGATTTATTATTAGTATTAAAATTAAAAACTTCTGTGCTGCTAAAGACAATGTCAAGAGAATGAGAAGATAAACCACAGACTTGGAGAAAGTATTTGCAAAAGGTACGTCTGATAAGGGAATGTTATCCAAAATATACAAAGAACTCTTAACACTTAACCATAAGAAAACAAACAACCCAATTTTAAAAAATGGGACAAAGACCTTAACAGACACCTCAAAGAAGATATACTGATGGCAAATAAGCATATGACAAGATGCTCCACATCCTGTGTCATCAGGGAAATAAAAATTAAAACAACAATGAGATACTAGTATACATCTTAGAATGACCAAAATCTGGAACATGGACAACCCCAAATGCTGACAAGGATGTGGAGCAACAAGAACTCTCATATATTGCTGGTGAGAATGCAAAGAAGAACAGCCACTTTGAAAGACAGTTTGGCAGTGTCTTATAAAACTAAACATACTCTTACCATATGATCCAGCAATCACACTCCTTGGTATTTACCCAGAGGTGTTGAAAACCTACGTCCACACAAAAACCTGCCCGCAGATGTTTATAGCAGCTTTATTCCTAATTGCCAAAACTTGGAAGCAACCAAGAAGCCCTTCAGTAGGTGAATGGACATAGAGACAATGGAATATTCAGTGCTAAAAAATAATGAGCTATCAAGCCATGAAAAGACATAGAGAAAATTTAAATGCATATTACTAAGTGAAAGAAACCAACTGGAAAAGGCTACATACTATATGATTCCAACTATACGAAATTCTGGAGAAGGCAAAGCTACAGAGACAGTAAAAAGGTAAGTTGTTGTCAGAAGTGGGGGAGGGGCGATGAGGGAGGGAAGAATAGATGGAGCACAGAAGATTTTCAAGGTAGTGAAAATCCTCTGTATGATGTTATAATGATGGGGTCATGTTATTATATATATTTGTCCAAACCCATAGAATGTACAACACCAAGAGTGAACCCCAAGGTGAACAATGGGCTTTAGGTGATCACAATGTGTCAATGTAGGGTCATCACTTGTAATGAATGTACACTATAGTGAGTGATACTAATAATAGAGGGATGCTAGGCATGTATGGGGATAGGGTTATACAGGGAATCTCTGCCTTCCTCTCAATTTTGCTGCAAACCTAAAACTTCTCTAAAAAATATAAAAAAATTTTTTAAAAAAGAACAAATAGGTGCATATAAAGTTGATGTAAACTCAAATGTATTAATAATTACACTAAATATAAATGAGTCAAATATGCTATGTAAAAACTAAGATTTTTTAAATTGAAAATGAAATCAAAAGCCAATTGGAAAAAAAAAAAAAAAGCAGAGCCTGAGACCAAGGCTCAATTATGATTGTTCATCTGGGAGTGTAGACCTGGGATTGGGATAGGAAGGAGGGAAGGATAGGGAAATGAAACAGGGAAAGAAGGGGATTCAAAACAAGGATGTGTTATCAAATTGACTTACTGCTCCAGGATGCTCAGTCCCAATGGACAGTCTGAATTTATGACGTGCAGCTCAGTGTCTTGCTCCTAGGGAAAGAAATGGGAAAGTATTTAACCACTTGCTCCCCTCAGCCTTGGTCGAGGGTTGACCCAAAGGACATTAACTACTTCTTACTCTGGCTGATCAGGCAGGGTCCCAGTGGCATCCTACACTGAGAGAAGAACTAAGGTCTAGAGGATCCCAAGTAGTGCCCAAGAGTTGTCCAAGAGATCGTCCAAACATGGTGACTAGATATTTTCTTCTATGATTTTTAAATTTCTTTAAGGATTAGTAGTGTAATCAGGCTTTCTACCTCCTATTTAGTCCACTTTGGTAACTTACACATTCCTTTGAAAATCAGCCCATTTCATTAAGATCCTCAAGCCAGCTAGCATAGTTTTTTCTCTTTCTTTCTCCCTCTCTCCCTCTCTCTCTCTTTTTTTTTTTTTACTAACCTTTTAGGTATTGTCTAATTTGTTTTTGTTTTAAAGAAACCAGATTAGAGGAGAGGCCCGGAGGGCGCGCGCGGCGCAGATATGCCACGCTGCTGCCTGCCGTTGGCAACCCTCCTGGACTAGGCTGCTTTGGTTAATCACATGGATGTTGCTGGTTACTTTGTGTGGGCAGAGACCTCTTCACGGTCAGTCGGAGAGAGGAGCCTGACCACCGTGCTCTCTCTGGAGATATGTGAGTTTTGGATTTTCCCACAACGAAGGTCAGAATGCTGCCCCTCCGTTATGCTCTGGCCGTAGCTGTTGTCCAGATCTTTATCTTGTCAGAAAACTGGGCATTGGCCAAGAATATCAACTTCTACAACGTGAGGCCTCCTCTGGACCCTACGCCATTTCCAAACAGCTTCAAGTGTTTTACCTGTGAAAATGCAGGAGATAATTATAACTGCAATCGATGGGCAGAAGACAAATGGTGTCCACAAAATACACAGTACTGTCTGACAGTTCACCACTTTACCAGTCATGGAAGAAGTACATCCATTACCAAAAAATGTGCCTCCAGAAGTGAATGTCATTTTGTTGGCTGCCACCACAGCCGAGATTCTGAACATACAGAGTGTAGGTCTTGCTGTGAAGGTATGATCTGTAATGTAGAGTTACCCACCAACCACACGAATGCGGTCTTCGCCGTGATGCACGCGCAGAGAACATCTGGCAGTGGTGCCCCCACACTCTGCCTACCAGTGCTTGCCTGGGTCTTCGTGCTTCTGCTGATATGAGGCCACTGTTCCTAGGAGAGGCAGAAACTGCCCCATGAAGCACCGGCCACAAACTGTGTGAACACAACATTTGAGCGAAGACCAGTCTCGCACTTGGAGAGTGCACCTTGGACCCCAAAGCAGAAGTCAGTTGTTTGCTGAGCTAAAACACTCCTGCATCAGGCCACAGGATTAAGGGAAGGGGACATGGCAGGAACTGAGGGGATCGCCACAGGCTTCCTGGCCAGAGGGGCTGCATTTTGTCACTTCCGCAGGGAGGAGCCTGCCCAGCATCTGCAACGGGTGCGTGGCGGTAAGCCTGTGGTGTTTCTGCCTGCCCAGGCTGTTAGCTGAAGGGACACGTCGACCTCAAGACTCTTTCGGAAGCTGCTGGGTCAGACCCTCACGTTTCTGTGTGTGATTAGCTCAGTGTCTCTATAAAATCTTACCCTTCCCCTGTGAGAAAGCAATTTCCCCACCAATGACATAGTCAATGAGAAAGGCCACTAGCTATAGGAAGAAAACTTCCAGTTGAACTAATATGAAACCCATTTGCTCATGTGGGGGGAAATAAAGCTTTTAAATTATACAATGTAAAAAAAAAAAAAAGAAACCAGATTAGATTGAATTACCAATGATACTTTACTATTTTTCAATGAATTAATTTCTGCTTTCATTGTATTAATACTTTTTAATAGCTTTACATTTATTTTATATTAAAAAAACACTTTCCTTCTTAGTCTAAAATAGTCAAACACATAGAAGCAGAGAGTAGAATGGGGACTGGGAGGAGAGGGAATTGGGGAGGTGATGATCAAAGGGTACAAAGCTTCAGTTATGCAAGGTATTAGCAGAGCTAATGTTAATAGTTAAAAATACTGTACCACATACTTGAAACCTGCTAGGATACACACACAAACACACACACACAAACATACACACACACACAAAGAATAGAAAAGGAAAAATGGTAACTATATGAGATGATAGATACGTTAATTAGCTTGATTGTGGTGATTATTTCACAATAGATACATAAATCAAAGCATCAAGTTGCATATTTTGAACATATACAATTTTTATTTGTTAATTATACTTCAATAAAGTTGGGAAAAAAAGAATATACAGTGAAGGCTGTCAGATAGAGGTGGGTGAATAAAGAGATGAAACCACCCTCTCTAATTACACAGGAAACAAACAACAACAACAAAACTTTCCTTCTTGAGATGAATACTTAATTCATTATTTTCATTATTCCTTTTGAAAAATAATAACATTCTAGAATATGATTTTTTTTTCTTTAGTATGGCTTTGTCACAAGCCAGAAGTTGTGAAACCTGGTGTTATTATTATGGTTATTTTCAAAACACTATTTAATTACACGTTTTATTTCCTTTATTACTCAAGCGCTATTTAGAAGAATATTGCTTAATTTCCTGGTATTTGGATTCTCTTATTTAATATTTTTCTTCGTAATTCTTTGTTTTGCTGGATTATGGTCAAAGAGAGTTTACATCTAAGAATTTATTGGAATTTCTTTTATGACCTAATATATTACTTTACTTTATAAATGTCCAATGGCTATTTTATAGTAATATGAGTTAGGTTTTTGTAGACTATAAATGTTGAAAAGCTTGTTGATTATATTATTTAATTCCTTCATTTGTGGGTCCACTTGATTAATCAAAGTGCATAAAAGAAACGATAAATGTCACCATTTGGATTACAGTCCTATCAATTTCTTCTTGATTTCTAAGATTTTTATTTTTAATATTTAGATGCTATTTTATGCAGGACATAAATATTCATGAGCCCTCTATCTTCTTTGTGACTTGCATTTGTATTGATAAAATATTCTATATTATTCTTTGATATTAATATTGCCATCCTTACTTTAGTTTTTGCTTTGCTTTGCTTTGTTTTCATATCTTTGTCATCCTTTTAGAGCAGAGCTTTATGGGTCACTTTATTTTAGGCCTGCCTTTTGTAAACAATATACATTACTCAGATTTCTGTGGAGGAAATAGAAACCATCTTCCGTCTTTCATGTGGAAAGGGATTAAGGCAGAAAGTTGGGTGCTTATTGAGGCTTTAGGGGAAGCTGGAGGAGTGGAAGTTGGTGGCCTCCACTGGGTTATGGAGTCCAACTTCCTACAAAGGGGTCAGGAAGCTGCCGCTGCTGCCACCACAGCCCCAGGGCACCGGCCTCCCCGTCCTGATGGTCTTTCTTCTGGGTTAAATCCTGGTGGGACTTCCTATTAGCTGAATGTAGGCCACCCACCTGGGCTCTAGTCACCAGGGCTCTAGGGGGACAGTATTTGGCTTTTTAGCTCAGTTGAGAAAGACTGGCCTCACTTCCTTCTCCCTGAACCTAGGAAGATGTCAGAGGCTGGCATTTCCCACACTGAAGCGTCTATTGCACATGCCCCTCATGGTGAAAGATGAGAGACTTAGTCCATCTCCCTCTTTCTTCTCCTTAGTCTGATCACCAAGCATGTATTGACTGTCTTCTATGAATCAGACGTTGTTCTGGGCACAACATACAGCACAACATACAGATATCAAAGAGCCAGTTTCTGCCTTCAAGAAATGTACCATCAAATGTGGAGAGTTAGGTCCTTAGGGGCCCTATTTTAATACCATGAGACACATGCTAGAAACATGTGTCCAGGGGCACCTGGGTGGCTCAGTTGGTTATGCATCTGCCTTCAGCTCAGGTCCTGATCCCGGGGTCCTGGGATCGAGCCCCGCATCGGGCTCCCTGCTCGGCAGGAAGCCTGCTTCTCCCTCTCCCACTCCCCCTGCTTGTGTTCCCTCTCTCGCTGTGTCTCTCTCTGTCAAATAAATAAATAAAATCTTAAAAAAGAAAGAAAGAAAGAAAGAAAGAAACATGTATGTTCACAGGGAGCAGAGCAGTGGGAAGGGATGCTTAGCCCAGTCTGCATGGGAGAGGACTAAAGACTGACCTGATTTCAAGGGAGGAGTATTTTCTGGGGGGTGGGAGGCACAAGACCCTGAAATGTGGAACCCCACAGTGCAGGTGAAACGGAAACACTGTGCCGTAACCAGGACATGAAATGCAAGCTGGGGCCAGCACAGCTGAGGCTGGAAAGGTCAACGGAGCACCTCATGCTAAAGAGGGGTGCCCCAAGAGAACATGGATCATCCCCACCTCCACAACTTGGGGCCTAGTGACTCTCTCTTTCTGGGATTTGTTGAGTCTTTGGACCCACAGACCTTCTCACTCTGCTGGAGCCTGGAGACAGGGGTGGCGGGGAGATGGCAGAGCTGCTATAAGGGTGGCCACATGACAGCTGCACCCCTGTGGTTGGGCTCAGCAAAAAAGGAGGGCTCCCCACAGTTCAGTAGACACCAGAGGAGGTGGCTAGGCTTGAGCAATCTTTTAGGTGAGAAAACCCCAGTGGCATTTTCTAAGGAACAACCACCCCAGTCAGGGAAATGCATGGGGGAGGTCTTATTGGCCCAAGAGAGGACAGCATTTGGGTGTCTGACCCTCAGAGGCCACCAGGGGCTTGTCAGTGTTACCTAGAAAAGTAACGCCATCCGCAGAGGGGCCACTAGAGGGACCTCTTCCTTGTCTCCCCTCAGAGCTGAGCCCTGGGACCAGATGGGAGGCACCTGAGAGTGGACCGCCCCTCCCCACCTCGCAACTCCAAGCTGCTGGGGCCACAGCTGTAGCCTGGAGTTTTCAGTATTGAAGTGAGACTGTTTCAATAATTAAAAGTGGTAAAAAAAAAAAAAAAAGAAAGAAAGAAAGAAAGAAAAGAAAGTTCTGGAGTCTTGACGAGCTGTCCATAGGGGACCTGCTACCCAGTGGGAAAGGGCAGTGGGGCATAGTACACAGCTGGAGGCTAATTGAGGACGCAGAGAAGGGAGATGGTGGCTCCACAGCGCGGAACACGGCAGTAATTCCTAAAGTTCTCCTTGGAAGCTCTTTCTCCACCCCCTCCTCCACCACCCCCGAAATCTTTTTCCGCTCCGTTTTTCTCACCTAAAGCAAATCTACCCGGGCCATCGGTTCCTCCCCACCCGCCAAACCTGTCCTGTCAGGGCCTGACCTCAGCAGCTGAATCATCCCCGCCACACCGCCCGGCCCAGGCCCGCGTCCCTCTTCCGGCCCCAACCCACCCGCAGCTCCGTCACCTTCCCTGAGGGGAGCTGCTTTCTCTTCCGCCTCCTGAGCTGGACTCCCCCACAGCAAGAAATCAGGCTTCCTGAGGAAATCTCAGTTCGCCCAGGAGCCTGACCATTAAGTGTTCCTCGGTTATCTGAGCCCGCTGGCCCTGCCTTTCCCCAGGCCGCTCAGCCGTGCCCTGGAAGGAGCTGCGGCCTTCAGCCCTGGGCCCCCGACCGCACGCCCCATTCCCAGCTTCCCTTCCCCGGGACGCGCCGCCAGGAGCTCATCTGAATTCTGGCACATCTCCGCTCCGCCGTAGAGACTTCTAGGGCTGGCAGGCGGTCTGCCACCGAGCTGGTCTCTGTGGCTTTGTGCCCACAGGTAATTATTAGGGCAGGGCCTCGCACACCCTCTCAACCTCCGGTGCTGCCAGCCTCCGGGAGCAGCGTCTGACCACGGGCTGGCCTCCTGCGGCACAGCGGGTGGTCGGCTTGATCCCTAGTCCCTCCGTGACCTCCTGCCCTCCGGGGGCCGGACAGGGGCTCTGAACATGTCCAGTCATGCCTGCCACTGACCTCCTCATCCAGGAACGATCCCAGCATCTGCAGAAATTGTGTATTTATATACTAATTCCCAGCCTGGGCCTTCTGACAGACTTTCTTAGGCTCTCTCAGCCTTGCTTACATAAAGCCACACTAAGTGTGGTTCTCCATTTCACTCATCGGGGCCCTAAAATCCATGCCCTCCCCTCATGGTTCTAATTCTGATTTCAGAATTTCCCTCTTCTTGAAGGACTTTCCAAGGATTGCACAACCCCCATCGGGCCAACCTCCGCTCCCTTGCACCATGAGCATAACAACTGGATGGTCATCGTGAAAGCTCATTCTGGTCAAAGTTCT